TTATATATGTATTCAAGTTCTATCTTTATCTCACGATTTCAACCTATTTCTACCAATAATTCCTGTAAAGTTTAATGCTACACTGTCCACATTTGGTTACGTACGAATAATATTCCAAACCAAAACCTCTCTGATGTGTTCGGTTTGGTACAAATACCAATCCGGCCAGCTTGCAAGTTATACCACTTTCTAGGGTTTAGTAATGGGCTTTTATTATAATACGATTGTATGCATGATATAAATATATGTGTATACCTATTGTACTAACTTTACCATCTGTCCTATGTATATACTTAAGTATATACGTACAAAAAGATAGAAACCTAATCATAGGTTAACTACCTATGTACAGTAGTTAGTTAATCCCATGGTTTTCATGTTTGATTATTTAGTTAGTCAAGATTTCTGTACATATTCAGTCACAAACTCAATATAAACACAAAAATTGTGGGTCATTTTATTATTTTCACACATAATACTAATTTATTTGCAACATATTAATATATAATTATTTAATCATTTTATAGTGATAAATTAGAAAATGACATAAAAAATGTTCCTTAGAAAATACAAAACATCATTTTTTGTGAATTTTTGTTTTCTTAAGAAACGGCAGAGGTATTTTAAATGGCGCATGTATTAAAACTCATAAAAGATGTTACATATAACATTATTATGTGACCATTTATCGTAGAATAAGTCTTTATTTATTTTAAATAAGTAAATATAATTATCACATGGAAAATTTAAAGAAAACATACAATATAATTTTAACCACATGATTTACAAAACACATGATTTATAATTCCCAAAACCAAAGCTTTGAACAACATTGGACTTGGCACCTTTTATTTTTGTCGTTATTTAGACAATCCCCAAGCAGAATCACCCTTCAAAACGGTTAAACGCATTGCCCTTTTGTTTTCTTTAGTACAATATATAAACTATCATGTAAATTCTTTAAAAGAAAAAGAGAGATATTAAAGGTTATTGGAATACTAGCTTTGACCTTGAGCTCTTTTTGCTTTTCTTGGACTTTTTGTCTCTCTTTATAACCTCTACCTCTCCTCTCCATCAGACAGGCACAAGTCTACTCTTTTTCTAGTTCATACACATACACAAACATTTATTCATCAAGCCAAGTAAAAGGAAAAAGGAAGAATAAATGGTTTCTAAGAGGGTTTTTTGCTGCCTTCTAATGTTTTTCAATTTGCAATTACATGCAATAGTCTCCAATGCAAACCCTAATAGCCAAGGTATGTTTCGGCGTTTTGTGTATGTCTGTTTATTGCTTGAAAGTAATATATGTCTTAAGATTTATAAACACATTCATCCAAATTACTCTTTAGATCCACAAGAGGCGAATAGTGAAGGTCTTGGAGCAAACATTATTACTCATATTGCCAACAAGGTACGTAGTATACCAAATTCTCAATCCGCAACCTTCAACATATTGGTTTCAGTCAATTGATATTCATTTGAATGATTTATCATTAGGCTATTCAAGATGTAATCGGAAATAGAAAGACTTTGAAGCATGTATATGTGAACGTAGAGGCAAATGAGAAGAATGGTTTTGAGATAGAGAGTAAAGAAACGGTGGGGGGAAGAAAAAACAAGAAGAGACTCGCCAAAACGGTGAGTTTAACGGCCGATTACAGCGACCCTGGTCATCATCCTCCTAGGCATAATTAAAAGGAATATTTTATATATAGTTTTGTTACATGAAACTTCAATTTTGATGCATCACTACTCAGATTTTGATATATAAATATTTACCACATATTTTACATGTATACTACTGATCAAGGTACGTCGAACATGATATTTTAGGTAGTACTTTTGTATGTATTCAAGAGAGACGTTTTTGG